TTTAGGTTTTAGAGTTTAGGGCTTGGGTTTAGGTTTTAGAGTCTAGGGCATAGGTTTAGGTTTTAGAGTTTAGGGTTTAGGGTTTAGGGTTTTGCCCTAAAGCCCCAAACCACACATTCATGACGATGCCTCGCGGAATGCACCTGTTGACCGAAGCCGAGGACTGGATGTGGGGCTGGCTGGACTTGCTCCTTGAAATCCTAAACCCCTAAACCCTAAACCCTGAACCCTAAACCCTAAACCCAAAACCCTAAACCCTAAACCCTGAACCTTGAACCCCAAACCCCCAACCCCTAAACCCTAAACCCTAAATCCTAATTGGTGAGGTGCAAGCTGGGGGTTGTAGTCTGAGTTTCGAGTTCAGGGCTGGGGGCATGCCATAAGCCATGAACCCTAAACCCTGAACTCTAAACCCCCAACAATACCCTAATATAGAAGCCCAAATAAACTACCAACTGTGTTTTGCAGGGTTCCTTATCATCACTATACCATAAAGGCGCCCCAAAACCCTATTCCAATTATGAAGGCCCCTACATTACACCCAGAACCACAAACGCCTAGATGGGCTTGGTGTTTAGGGACCGAAGCCCTGCACCCCGACGGCTGAACGGACTTAGGGTTCAGGGTTTTGGGTATAGGGTTTAGGGTCTTGGGTATAAGGTTTTGGGTTTTGGGTATAGGGTTTGGGGTTTTGGGTGTAGGGTTAAGGGTTTAGGTTTAGAACCCTGGCCCTAAACCGCTGTTCCTAAATCATAAATCTTTTACTCCTAACCCAAGCTCCACACCGTCCACTAAGGGTCTAGGGCGCAGGGTTCCTAACTTACGGGTTTAGGGTTCAGGTTACTTTACGGTTTAGGGACCCTAAACCCTAAACCCTAAACCCTAAACCCTAAACCCTGAACCCTAAACCCTAAACCCTAAACCCTAAACCCTGGTTTAGGGTTTCGGGCCCGAAAGAAACACTAGAACCCCCCCCTGAAGTGCAAGGTTCATCGTCATGAGCTCTCTCTGGGAGGTAGCGCTGGATGTGGTCCAGTTTTTCTATCAATCCCAAGGATCGGGCCAGAACCGGGGTTTAGGGTTTAGGGTTTAGGGTTTAGGGTTTAGGGTTTAGGGTTTAGGGGGAGGTTGAGTGGAACTTCTAGTTCATTTTTTCATGGCTTTAGAGTTCGGGGGTGTTGTGGGTTGCTTTCGGTTTCTAGGGTCTCATTGGAGGTGTGCTCTAAAGTGCTATCATCAAACTCGGCCCGGTCATTATTTTCAGTTAACTGGTGTTCATAAGTTCAGGGTTTACAGTTTTGGGGTTTGGTATGTCTCTTTTGTCAGTCATTATCGTGAGGGGCATTATGATTATTGCCAATACTTTTGCTACTTCCTGGGATTTGCTTCTAATACTCTGCGGGTTTAGGATTGCTCCGTGCCCCAGCAGCTTTTCTTAAACACAGAAGCCCTGAACCTCAAATCCGCAACTAACTAACCCACAAAAAACCTGAAAAAGCCTCAGCCCCCTAGCCCTAGACGCCTGGAAGAAAACACTAGACCCCAATTCAATCCCCGCTTTAAAAGCCCTGAAAGGTGATCTGGAGGCCATACCCGGCATCTCCAACATGAAGTCCTTCAGAATTATCCGGCTGACGCGACTGCTGAAGACGGCTCAATTCGTCCGCATCTTCCGCGGCTCGCCGCGGTTTTCAGCGCCTTTGGAGGTTTAGGGTTTAGGGTTTAGGGTGGAACGCACGAGCAGTTCCAATGTCCAAGCGGAAATCATGAAGGCCGTTGGGAGTTTCTTTCGTTCCCCGGTGCTCCTCTGCGTAACCTTCGTTGCCCAAGTATGGCGAAACCCTGAACCCTAAACCTTAACCCTTAAACCCCCCAAACCCTAAACCCTAAACCCCACGCCCCCTAAACCATAAGCACCCTAGATCCTAGAATGCCGTGACGGCTGCCAACCTTTACCCCCGGCGGAGTGTCAAGAGAAGCATCTCGGCTTCGGGCTTCTTTAGGCCATGGATTTAGGGTTTAGGGTTTAGAGCGTTCAGGGTTTAGGGGGTTAGGGGTTTAGGGTTTAGGGGTTTAGGGCGTTCAGGGTTTAGGGGTTTAGGGGTTTAGGGTTTTAGGGTTTAGGGCTTAGGGCAACTTTGTACATTGTTATGGGTACTTAAACTCACTAAGGAATATAGACTAACATAGGTTTTAGTAGTATCCCGAACATGAACTTGACCCTTATACAAACCTCAAACGACAAACTCCTATCTAAACCCCACAGTTTCCTTGTAAAGCACCTTCATCACGAACGCCCCAGCTTTAAAAAGACTCTTAAGCCTATACGGTAACGCACGGCCTGAACGGATAGCCCCTGTAGCAAGTGGAACCCTTATAGAACCCTTGGAGGAGCCCTTACAGGAAGAAAAACCTTTAAATCAAACAGCCGAGCCCCAACCAGGTTTAGGGTTTATGGTTTAGGGTTTGGGGTTTTGGGTTTAGGGTTTGCGGTCCTCCACAGAGTCTAGGACATTTTCAGGTGGGTAGTTGCCGTTATAGAAGCCTTGTAGAAGGTCTATATACCTTATAGCAGCCTCCCTAAACCCTAAACCCTAAACCCTAAACCCTAAACCCTAAACCCTAAGCCCTAAACCCTAAACCGTGAGCCCTAGATACCCTAAACTCCCCACCTGTAGTTTCCTTCAACAGAGACGAGGTTTCGTCATGGCCCTTCGGATGCTGGTCCCGCGGCTTAGGGTTTCGGGTGTAGGGCTCAGGGCTTAGGGTTCAGCGTAGGTTGCTTGGAAGCACAACAATGAAACGCACTAGCTGATAGAGCTCGCCTATATATATATATATATATATTTTTATATGCCAGACACCTAGAGATACATACATGTATGCCTACATGCACATACATACATACACACCACACATGCGCGCGGCTTTGTTGCGTGAGGGCTGCTAGGTATGAGGCCGTTGGAATTCAAAGGATTGGAACTTTTGTTGGCTGCCCTGGGTACAGTAACGGTAGGGCTCTCGTCAGGACCTGCGTTGCTGGAGTGGTTCTCAAGCAGATTACGATTATGCGTTGGAGCTGCAACGATTCGAGCGGTACGATATAGAAGCCTGAATGTTTAGCATTACCTCCTCACCATTTCCTGGGAGCTCCTCATTATTATTTCTACTATTATCACTCTTGTTGCTATCCTTATTTATTGTTGTACTCATATTAAGACATCAACAATCTAGGCTAGTTATTAAGGCCCACCCCATTACTGTACCCTCCCTGAATACTGAGCTTTCAATACTGGCAGTGAATATGGGAGTTTCCGAAAAATTAGGGTACCTTATTTTGGGGTCCTTATAATAAGGATCCTATTATTTAGGGTGCTATATTAGGGTCCCCTATTTTCGGAAACTCCCATATGGGGTAACTTTGACTCCCTAGACCTTAAGCTTAACCCTAAACCCTAAAGCCTTGAAAACCTAAATCCTAAATCCTAAACCCCCGCACCCCTGAACCCTGAATCCTAAATACTCAAAGCCCACATCCTAAATCCTAAACCCCTAAACCCTACATCAGGAAAAAAACTTCAAAGGCTAAACTAAAACCCTAAACCCTGCACCCGTCCCAGTCCCAATCCCAGCCCCGATGGACCCCATGCCGTGCTCCTTGCAGGCATATCCCTGAACTGTTCCCAAAGTCTAGGGTTTAGGGTTTACGGTTTAGGTAGGGTTTAGGGTGCAGGGTTTAAGTAGGGTTTAGAGTTTAGGGTTTAGGGGTTTGTTGTTTTGGGGGGTCATATCCTGAAGCCTAAACTTTAAACCCTGCACTCCATGGTGTGATCATAAACATGCAGGGGTCCAGAGGTTCAGAGTTCAGGGTTTTGGATTTTGGGAGCTCCTGCACCCCGTAGGTGACGTCGATCATCTCCACCCTGAAAGCACTGCTGTGGGCGATGGTCCTTCTCGCTCTCATTGTTTATGTGGCCTGCCAGTGGTTTTTGGGGTGTTTCAGGGTCAAACGCTAAACTCTAGACTCTAAGCCCTAAAACCCTAACCCTAAACCCTAGAACCTAAACCCTAAACCCTAAGCCCTCTGGTATAGGACTCAGGGAAAGTTCCGAAAGTGTTGGGGTTCCTTTTGAGCTTCTACCCGGGGCATTCTCTCTACATGGTGGGTTCACGGGTTTCGAACATCCACCCTCCGGGGTCCTAAACCCTAAACCCGGAACCCTAAACCCTAAACCCTAAACCCGAAACCCTAAATCCGAAGCCCTAAACTCTAAACCCGAACCCTAAACTCTAAACCCGAACCTAGCTCTGAACCTCAACTTGGGAGCTCCGTATTCTGGTTCGAGTTTGGGCGTTAGGCTTAGGGCTTATGGAGGTTAGGGTTCA